CCCCCCCCCCCCCCCCCCAAAAAAAAAAAAAAAGGTTATGCAAATAATTTTTTTAAGAAATTGCTACGACATTCAGGTATGAGTATAGTCTTATATTGAAAAGAATAGTAAAGAGTAATAAATTGGAGTTAGAGTTAATACATAATAGCTTAAGGTTTTATGTTAAAACTAATTTTTAGTTTTTATGTAAAGACCATCAACTCTTGACTGTGCGTGACTTCTCCCCAGCAAAAATTATATTTAAAAAAGTTCTTCAACAAATTTTTACGTTCAATGGGGCTAATGATTGACACGAAATATATTGTCATCTGTCAGATTCAACCTCTGCTCATTGCCGACCATAACTTAGTCCCAAATCTTGGTAATAAGGCATCCGAGAGGACCACAAGAGCTTAACTTTTGCAGGTGGAATGCCTTTTTATTTCCGAGACTTTTTATTCCTATCCAACACTTCTTCAATAAATCTAGGATACGCCCAACATGATGAAACTCTGCTTTGCTTAAACTCTAACTGAACTTACATAGTGTAGTGCATTTGATTTTGTTTCTTAATACATATTAGTCAACAGTGTGATTTATGTGGAGAAGAATTGGAAAAAGCAGATTTTTGGTCATAAGTCGACTCATGCACAGGCATAAGTCGACTTATGGTAAGTCTTGTTGTGACTGATGCTTTGAGAAACCAAACCAACGAACGCCGAGAGAAAGACCAAACAAAACACAAACACCAAGGTTTTACGTGGTTCGGCAAATTGCCTACGTCCACGGGGCAAGAAGGGGGTGGGTTTTCACTAATAGAGAAGGAGAGTACAAATTGAGATTACAAATCGCTCAAACGAACCAACTAATCTCACCAACAAATCTCTCAATCTCTCAACCAATAACCCTAACAAATAGCTCAGAAAGATCTCTCTTTTTCTGTGCTCCAAAACCCCAAAACTCTCCTCACAAAACCCTCAAATCGTATTGGTATTTATACCAAAACAGAAACCCAAACAGACTGCAAATAGGAACCTGAACTTTCCAAAAAACCCGTCATAAGTCGACTTATCAGTCTGCATAAGTCGACTTGGCAGAGCGAAAAACAGCAACTGGAGAAGAGATCATAAGTCGACTTATCAGACCTGATAAGTCGACTTGGCAGAGCAAAAAACCAACAATCCAGAGCAGAACGTAAGTCGACTCATGCACCAACATAAGTCGACTTACCATAAGTCGACTTATGCCTGTGCATGAGTCGACTTATGACCAAAAATCTGCTTTTTCCAATTCTTCTCCACAATTCTCCACCTCGGCGAAGTTTTCCCAAAACTGAGCCGACACCAACCAAACAAATGCCTCACATGCTGAGACCCAAATGAGAGTGTGAACACTCACCCCAAATGTCGATGTCGCTCACCAAATCGGCTGCATCAAAATGACTGCCTACGTATCCTTTGCCCAAGGAATCAAGCCTTCACGTAGTTCACCCAAACGGCCTCCAAAGGCCCTCAATCAAATAGAAAAGTCTGCAACTCTTCTCCAATATCACCAAACGATCTGCAACTGATAGTATTCCCAATGACCCCAAATTGAGACAAATCAAACACCTCCACCTGAGGTAAACCAATGGCCATATCCAAACTATATCTACCAGCTGCAACTGAATCCAAAACCAATCCATCATCTGCATCCAAAACCAAATGATCTCCAACCTGTGTCACCTTAGCTGGAATCCCAAATGACGCAGTATGATCTGGAGTATGTGGAGTAATCTCCACCCAACGTGGAGTAGCATCACTCTCCACCTGCTGCGATATCCAAATGACCTGATCAACACTCTCCACCTGCCGAGAGTCAAAAGTGACATACCTGCTCAGAACAAAATCAGAAGCTCCCAAACGATAATCAACTGAGCCTCCGAACCCCAAACGCGCAATCGGATCCAATCTCACATCCACGATGTGACCAAATGCTGGGTATCCAAATATCCGACGCGACCCAAAATCTGAAGCAGCTCCACCAGATCTAATAACTCCTAAAGCAGCAGTCGGCGACCTATGCATAAGATGACCCAAATATGTCGAAGCCCGCACACCAATGCCAATGCTCGACATCAAACGCCGATCCTCCTCCAGAAAGGAACGACCCATCGAAACTGTCATCTCATCTCGTCGCCCCAAAGTCTCCACACCAATGAAGTGTCTCCTATTGCCGTGAGCTCGGCACCAACGCAAGAAAGGACCCCTACCAAAGCTGAAACAATGAGTTACCTTTCTGCCAATACACTTCTTCCAATTGTTGTTGACTTCTAGGACTTTACACCAACGGGAACTGGTCGCGACCCAATAATGCCTAGAACAATCACCAACTGTGGAAACCAAGATACGATTACCTCCCAATGATGCCTCCTTGGAAGGCCCCCAAATGCCTGACTGAACACCTCCAAAAAGACCCCTCGCTCGATGGATAGAAGTGCCAAACTCCACCACGGTCTCGCTCATCCTAATGTGCTCACAGGACTTCAATCTGCAGGTCATAGCACTCCTCAACAACCAATGCACGGTATTACCAATCATATACCCCAGCACCAAACAATGCCACAGTCTAGCCGAATCTGATGAAGTCGTCATTTCCCTATCAATCACCGTGCTTCCGTGCAAATAATACAAATTTCTTCTTCTGACGCCCTTCATCACAATCATGGACCCAAATGTAACCTTCAAGCGTGCATCCGCCAAGGTCACCCTATAGCCAGCTGCCTCCAAAGCTCCAAGTGAAATGATGTTCTTCTTCAACTGAGGAACGAACCTCACTCCAACCAACTCCCGAATCACCCCGTCACTCATCCTGATCCGAACAGTACCAATACCACCAATAGAGCATTTGTGATCATTCCCCATGAGCACGAAATCCCCTCTTTCCAACTCCTGAAAGCTGGAGAACCAATCCCTCCTAGGGCAAATAATAATAATAATAATAATAATAATAATAATAATAATAATAATAATAATAATAATAATAATAATAATAGTGTTACGATGATTCACACTGCAGTTTTTTAACCTCTAAATTGCCGTTCACCTATTTGCACACAGTGGCATCTTCTACCTTTCCCTCTTACCTCTTTGGAAAAAAGTGTTTTGTTAGGGTCACTATGGTATTATTGAAGCTTAGCAATTTATATAAGTTGTTTAAAATGGCCGTTTGATTTGTGTTTGGTAAAACCATGCTTGAACATCATTACGAGTGAAAATGACTAAAATAAATACAAATTTATCTTTATGTTTATTGGTAGTAAACAATCACGTTAAAGTATATAAGAGCATGTATAGTATATAAATTACAAAAAATATAAGATACTTTTAAACGTGCTCAGATTGTTTTTAAAAGCACTCCTTAAAAGCAGAAGCAATTTTAATAAATCAATTTTAATAAGTATACAGATTTGTTTTACCAAACACAATTATCAACTTAGCATAAGCACCCTAAAAAAGCAACACCAATTGGTCCTTTCGTTCGTTAAATCTTAATATTTCGACCAAGTCCTTAAATCAGTTAAATTACTGTTAGGTCCCTTGATTCTTTTAGATTATCTTAAAATGGAAAAATTTACAAAATAGACTTATTTTACTAAACATTTAGCAAAATAGACTATTTTGCTAAATATTTAGCAAAATAGAGGTCAAAAAGAGGTCTATTTTACGAATTTGGATCCTCTCAACTACAAAAAAATAGTGGAGAGACCATTACTTTTAATTTCAATCGTTGATTACTTAATAGGCGTTTATGATACAATCTAAATCTAACACTTACCATACCCCGTGTATTGCACTTATTCATAATTTGCACTAAAAGAAAAAATCACAATCACCAACTAGATAATCAATGGTTGTGATTATGTAGTGATCTCTTCACTACTTTTTAGATAGTGAAGATAATCTGAATCCCTATTTTGCTAAATATTTATTTTGCAAAATTTTCTCTTAAAATTAGTCCCTCTAGTCATAAGAATTGCTATAACATTCCCCAATTTTTCAGGTTGTCTCAAATTAATCTCTCCAATCAAAGAGCAAAATAATACCAAGATGAACTCAGAACTTGAGGGCTAATGCCAAAGAAGATTAGAGATTTACGGGACTAATTCAAAAAACCTATTGAAAAATAAGAAAAAGAGTAGCAATGTGCTTATCCGTAATCATCTGTGGACCCCGCCATCTTTTCACCGTTGGATTCAGTGTTAGGCATCTCTTTCACCCCTTTGCTGATCTGTACTATCGCTATAGCAACCTTTGAGCAATAAACATTAGTTAATTAATTAACCAAATTAATTACAAATTAAGCTCCGAGGAAAACATACAAACTTATAATAAAAAAATTGATTCATTAAATTTTCTTTTTTGTTCAAGAAACCAGCACGCCGTTTTCTTGAGATTGGTGGTCCCCACCGCCAAAACAAAGGCGTGGAATTCGTTCCTAACCGCTGATACAGTCTGCCAAATTTCCCCCAAAGGTCAGTACCTCTTGAAATTAATTAATTAATTGCTTTTGTCTTAATTTTTGGGAAAAATTAGAAAATGCAAACTTGTAGATTTACTGCTTTTCATGGTATTTAGTCCAAAATTTTATTTGGGTTCCCTGTTTGGATTGAGATAGTTGATGGGTTTTTGATAAAATGGGCTAAAAGCTGCTGAAGATCTTGTTATTCCATAAGGTAGTACACCTGTTTGATTCTGTTTTTTTTTTTCCTTCCCGTTTTTTATGCCGTTTGAATTTTTACATTTTGAAACTTTTTTGGTCTTTTTTAATAGTTTCATGTATAGTTAGAGTGTTGGTCAATGGTTTTTGTGGTTTACACTCTTAAGCTATACAATGTTCAGATATCAACCCCTATTGCTTTTGATTCCAATTCCTCAAAGCTGCAATCTTTATTCTAGTCCATGCCCTTTTATCAAGATTGGTATGGATTAGTATTATTGAAATTTCTTGAAATCTGCTGTTTTAGTAAGTTTCTTGAAATGTTAGACAAATTTTCATGAATGATACATCATTTTTCAGGTTTCTAGGAGTTCTCACAGATTCTCACCTAATTAAAACCTCAGTAGAAACAGTTTGTTTCAGGTACTTTTATCATTTTTCATCTGACTAGTATATATTCAATATTCTCTAGAATTAAATTTGGTTTTGTATTTGTAGATCATGAGGTTCAAAGAAGGGAGTAGGGTTGAGGTGCTGAGAAATAAAAAGGAAGCTTATGGCTCTTGGTTTCCTGCAAGAACTTTATCCAAAGTTGGAAACATGTACACTGTTAGATATGAGCTTTGTCTGACAAGCAAAGGGGAGCCTATGATAGAGAAAGTGCCTGAAGAAGATATTAGGCCATGCCCTCTGCTTGTGAACGAAGGGGAGAGTTGGGCTGTTGGTGATATTGCGGAGGCCTTTGATCTTTGCTGTTGGAGGGTTGGAAAGATTGCAAAGATTTTCAGGGATAATTGTTGTGTTGTTAGATTGTTTGGCTCCATCCAGCTTAAGAAGTTTCATGTCTCTGATCTAAGAGTTCGGCAAGCTTGGCGTAATAATAGATGGATATCGCTTGGGAAGGTATACATACTGAGCCTGATGATTTCAATCTTTAATTCCTTTTGTTCCTGCAGTTTAGATGTGTAGAACTTTTCTTTTGATATATGATTTTTTTTACCTTTTTATTGAATTAGTTCTTTATGTTTGATTGTTTGACTGATTATTCAGTTTCATTGAAAGTAAGCTGCTTGTATTTATCATCAAAATTATTGTGTTGTTGGACGCCACCAAAAACCGGTGCTTATCATATTTTGTGGAGAACATGGGAAGAAAAGATAATTGCACACGGCTCATATCTTAGTCTATGCAAACAGGCCCACGACGTCGAGCCATTGATCGTAATGATCTTATACTCTTATATGCGTTCACTGTATGGTTCTCTATTCCTTCAAGTTCCTCATTGTTTTTTCCCTCTCCCTTATGTCTTGTGTTCCCGGAAGGGGGAGATAGCAACATACGTTAACTTAGAGAATATCAAGCTTTTCTTCTAGATTGTCAGGCTTTCCTTATGCCTGTTTTGATGCAAACTCCCTTCACACATTCCTGTCACTAACCAATTAAGTATCTTAGAAGCACACATTTTTGTTATGACTCATGCTTGTGGTGCATACTTTTCTGGATCTCATTTATGCTTGTTATTTTACATCCTTTTGACAAAAATGCAATCTCCGCTAATGTTCCTGTGCAAAAAAGTTTCAATCTGGAAACAATTGTATCGTCTATAGGTACTGGTGATGTATACATTCAAGATTTAGTCAATCATATGTTCCTGAATATTTCACCTTACACATATGTGATCACACTTATTAGTGAAAGCCATTATCTGATCATGCTTTTTAGGTGAGATGAAAAACCATGATTATGAAGAACCATGATAACGGGCAACTAACCAAAGTACTGATGGTTATGGCATGGTCTTTTTATAATAGACAAAAGAAGAGAGAAGGTGGGGCACGGAGGGGGTTTGTTTTGGTCAAGTTTCAGTTTTATTATGGCAGGTTCAATCTATTGTTGAGATTGTATTCCCTCTTAACCTTCATTCTCGCGAATATTTAAGGGAATTAAGTGTCACATGTATTCCTTAAGGTCTCGTTTGGTACGCGGGAATGGGGTGGAATGGAATGATCATTCTCACTTCTCATTCCTTTCTACCAAACACACCCTCTTTTTTGAAGTTAGAATGCTCATTCCCACTTCTCATCAATTCCCACTTTACGTGGGAATGAGCATTCTCAATGAAATGATAGGGAATAGGCATTCCCACTTAAGTGGAAATCAATAAAATATATAATTTTAAAATACATTCATTCCCACTTCATTTTATAAATTACACCTAAATGTGAGAATGTGAATGATCATTCCATTATCACATTAATTCCATTCCATTCCTTCTTTTATTCTATTCTCATTTGAGTCAACTGCGTACCAAACGAGGCGTAAAAACTATCAAAAGTATACATAAAAAAATGTGCTAAGTATTTTTATTACGAAAATTTCAATACAGTGAATAGAAAACTAATTCTTTTTATACGCACTGTTATGGAAATAATTATTATACCTTTTTTTTATCGCAAATGATTATACTTTTTAGTTGGAGCCAATTAAGCACATCTCACAAATCCTTGATCTTAGCAAAGTCAGTAAGGAACCAACCAAAATATTGTACGTACCTTGGATAGGGGTCAAAAAGTTGATTAAAAAGGTTAAAACACAATTAACGATCTCACCAAACTAATGTTTGGGGTCAAATGACGCAATAACATAAAGATTACTCCCCCGTGAAACACGGGTCTACGCTTTGACGAAATAACCCACCATCCTTTTCTCCCTTTGAATCCCTTCTCCTGTCTTCTACAGGGGTAAAGTTGTCAACCGGCTCAAATAGAATCTGAAATTCACCCAATTATAAATCTAAAGAATTCGGGTTTTTGGAAATCCTTGTCCTAAACTTAATGAATATGTTTTGTTTTGCTTTAGACAAAAAAGTACAACATAAACGGATAAATCTTATACAGTTTTATATCAGTTTAAAGCCATCATAAATGTATAGGAAAAACACTAAGGCCCCGTTTGATAAAGGGTTAAGAAAGAGGGGTTAAAAGAGAAGGATCAACGTATTTAGCCCATTTAATAATCTGAAGGACTAAATTTCTTAGATTTTGGGTAAAATAAAGCTTAGAATAAACTTACACAAGTGTGGAGATTGGGTTAAGGAGTAGAAGAATCTAAAACTTTTCCTAATCAAGGACACGTGGCATAAGGAGAAGGCGGTTTCCTCTTTGTTTGGCTTTTAACCAACTGGTCTCCTTTATTGAGTACACTCAAGACGAAGGGATGGTATTCTAGAATCCTTAGACGAACATTTGGCCTTAATCCGTTCGCTTAGCATTAATTAATTATTTCCAAGGGTTGCATTTCCATTCTCTTTAAGCCCCTTTTCCTACTAGTGCCAACCAAAACTTTGTTCTCATTAGTAAAGAATTAAAGTAGTTTGTCTTAATTAATTGCAAATGTAATTAGTTTAGTTTGCTGATGATGCCATTGACGTGGCTAACACTAAGACGGAGAGAGATTACATCTATGATAATGAAAGATTAGACTTCTATTATTGACTAGTGTTCTTGATTAATGATTGATATTTGAATGCTTAAATTCTAGGGAGGAATGATTGGAAGGTTAGTGATTGATATTGATGGTTTTAGTTGGTTTGTTAAATATTGAAAATGTATCCTTCGGTCTGACTGTGATGAGAATTTTGATCAAGTAACTTACTTGTTAATGTCATATTAAATATCTTCTCACCCAAGACCAATAATACTATAATAATGATTGATATACAGCTGTTGCATTCTAATCTAATCTAATACAGTTATAAAAGTGTGTTGCATGTTAACATTTCTTCCGATTATGTCCTTGAATTTATATGTACAGTTGTAAAATTACTCTTTGTATTGCTATGAATATCCATGTAATTTTTTATCTCTTCGTGATAGAATACATGTATACATGTACATACATACATACTCAAAATTAATGAAGAAGAAAAATAAGATAATAATAATAATTACTCACTCATAATCTCCTCAAAACATCTCTATTTAGTTATTACCTACCAATTCTCTATCTAATCACCAACCCATAACCTCCCTATTCCCCTTAATTCTACCCATTAAACTTCACCAACTTTTTAGTTCCCCCCAGTTTCTCTCTTATAAATGCACGTGTTACCGTGACTATGTAGCACAACTTGAGTAAGAAGCTAAGAAAGATAAGAGTCAGAGAAAAGGGAGATTGAATGTGAGAAATGGGTAAAAAAAATGTTTTTGATTTAAAGGCTTGGCATTTTCTTATTCTTTTTGTTTTTGTTTTTGTTTTGAGCTTTGCTACAGGAACCCAAAATATGGGACCAATAGAGGGGACAAGTGAGGTGTCTCCCTCCTATTGGATAATAAGTTGACCATTATTAATGATGGCCAACTCATTATCTAATAGGTGGGAGACATCTCATTTGTCCCCTCTATTGGTCCCATATTTTGGGTCCTTGAGGAATTTTTCTAATAGCTAATACAAATGTACGGGCAACAGCGAGAAATTCCCTCCACCACATCAAAGACGGAGCGGTTGGGATCATAACAGCATCATTCATTTTATCTCTCTTTGATTCACTGGTTCAGCTAGTTGAGCATTGGCAACTTCATACCAAATGGTTGAAATCTTTAAACAACTATTTGCGAGAACTTCTTGAAACCACTGAAATCTTCATATATTGGGATTTACATGGATGTGTTTTTTGAAGAAAAAAAAAATGAAATATTGCGTTGCCAAACTTTGATGGATATTAGGAGGAATATATATATACATATAAGGAGAAGGAACTAGAATTTTTTTTTTGGTTTAATTTGAATTGTAGTTGATTATATCTAATTTGGTAAAGCGTATTGTTGAATAAATTGTTCTAATTTTCAGGCATGTGTTTGATGATGTCCTCCTCAATCTAATTTGGTAAAAGCTAAGGTCAAAAAGCAATCATGCTTCGTCTTTGTGACGTACATTTGAGCTTGGCCTGAAAATCAAAAAAGCTATTTGGCTCGCGGTTGAACCGCGAGCCAAATAGCAAAGTTCCCGAAAATATGAGGTCCGTGAATGTTTTGCTATTGCTATCGTTAAGGGCGGCGCGCGGTGAGGTGATGGTTCCATACGAGTCGCTGTCACGTGTGGGTCTTGATCTCTACTTGTCATTGTGATTAATAAATGCGAGCACGTTTCGTCCCACACTTTGGTACTGAGCCTAAAGTCCACTGAAAAATTAATAAACCGCCAAGGTGGATGAGACTCATTTTTCCTTATAATTATGTCTTTACTTACATTGTTGCAAAATCATGTTCGGTAAAATCTATTTATTAGTTGCTTATGTTAACTTATATGTAGGGATACAATAAGTTGAGATGCTCTAACTTATTTTTATGGCACTTGTAAGAATATAATTTACTTGTTAATGGCAGGAAACTATTTCGTCGACGTCTAACAAAATAAGTACTAATAAGCAACTTATAAGATTTCATAAAATAAGTACATAGTAGTCAACGTGCTCTTAATGCAAAAAAGCTACAAAATCAGGAATCTGGATCTAGACATTTGGAACGAGTGAAAGAAAAAACTTTTCTGAAATAAACTCAGAGCTGCATGCACTTTTGATTATACGTTGTATGATTATATTTCTTTGCTATGACAACGTTGCTCCGTTTACACTGGACTAGATGGTTAGATCATACACTACGATATCTTGATTAAAAATTTTCATTAAAGGTTATGCAAATAATTTTTTTAAGAAATTGCTACGACATTCAGGTATGAGTATAGTCTTATATTGAAAAGAATAGTAAAGAGTAATAAATTGGAGTTAGAGTTAATACATAATAGCTTAAGCCCCCCCCCCCCCCCCCAAAAAAAAAAAAAAAGGTTATGCAAATAATTTTTTTAAGAAATTGCTACGACATTCAGGTATGAGTATAGTCTTATATTGAAAAGAATAGTAAAGAGTAATAAATTGGAGTTAGAGTTAATACATAATAGCTTAAGGTTTTATGTTAAAACTAATTTTTAGTTTTTATGTAAAGACCATCAACTCTTGACTGTGCGTGACTTCTCCCCAGCAAAAATTATATTTAAAAAAGTTCTTCAACAAATTTTTACGTTCAATGGGGCTAATGATTGACACGAAATATATTGTCATCTGTCAGATTCAACCTCTGCTCATTGCCGACCATAACTTAGTCCCAAATCTTGGTAATAAGGCATCCGAGAGGACCACAAGAGCTTAACTTTTGCAGGTGGAATGCCTTTTTATTTCCGAGACTTTTTATTCCTATCCAACACTTCTTCAATAAATCTAGGATACGCCCAACATGATGAAACTCTGCTTTGCTTAAACTCTAACTGAACTTACATAGTGTAGTGCATTTGATTTTGTTTCTTAATACATATTAGTCAACAGTGTGATTTATGTGGAGAAGAATTGGAAAAAGCAGATTTTTGGTCATAAGTCGACTCATGCACAGGCATAAGTCGACTTATGGTAAGTCGACTTATGTTGGTGCATGAGTCGACTTACGTTCTGCTCTGGATTGTTGGTTTTTTGCTCTGCCAAGTCGACTTATCAGGTCTGATAAGTCGACTTATGATCTCTTCTCCAGTTGCTGTTTTTCGCTCTGCCAAGTCGACTTATACAGACTGATAAGTCGACTTATGACGGGTTTTTTGGAAAGTTCAGGTTCCTATTTGCAGTCTGTTTGGGTTTCTGTTTTGGTATAAATACCAATACGATTTGAGGGTTTTGTGAGGAGAGTTTTGGGGTTTTGGAGCACAGAAAAAGAGAGATCTTTCTGAGCTATTTGTTAGGGTTATTGGTTGAGAGATTGAGAGATTTGTTGGTGAGATTAGTTGGTTCGTTTGAGCGATTTGTAATCTCAATTTGTACTCTCCTTCTCTATTAGTGAAAACCCACCCCCTTCTTGCCCCGTGGACGTAGGCAATTTGCCGAACCACGTAAAA